CCCCAAAACCCCAAAACCCCAAAACCCCTCAGGCGCCCAGTTGAGGCCTCCAATATCTTCTTCTAAAACTCCACTTAAAAATCTCTACTATAATCCACCCCTGTCTTTTCCTTCCTCGCTGTCCCCTTCTGGGCTGCAGGGGAAGTCAGCTTTTTGAGGCAGCTGGGCAAGCGAGGGGGTTGGAGGGGTGAGTGGCTGGGTGGCTGGATTTTGGGGGGATTTGGAGGGATTTTGGGGTGTAGGCTAGATTTTTAGGGGGTTTATGGGGGATTTGGGGGTAGAAAATGGCTTAGGAAGGGTGTGTTACCTTTGATATTTGAATTCTTTTAGTTCTTCGGAGGGGGGGTTGTTGTTTTTAATTGTGTTTTCGAAGTTGTTTGCTTCTTCTCTGACGCTGGCTGGGTTATTGAGAGAATCCTTTTCTTTGGCCATCAGATAAGAGACATATGCCTTTAGCTCGTAAAGGGATTGCGAAATGTTGATGATATCAAGACTATCCAAGACTTTAGAATTTTTCGAATTTTTCTCAATAATTTCCTGAATTTCTTCTAATTTCACTTTACTTGAATCATGCTTGTATACCTGGCTTCGGTCTTCAACAGGATTGTACTTCTGGCTATTTGTATTACGGTTGCACATTCTGTATTTGCCCATAGACTCGAGAGCAATACTCTTAATTTTGTTCCTTCTCTTATTTTTACGAAACTCAAGAGGATTTTGAGTTGGATAAGTGAACCACTCTTCCTTTAGTTTTTCTTTATTTTGAACCTTCTTAATTTCCTTTTGTAATAGGAATTTTGTAAAGACTCTTAAAACAATTGAGAACATTAGGAACAGGATCTCGAAAATACCTCCTGCTTGCCCAAGAATCTCGAGGAAACTAATAACTGTAGTTTCGTACTCATTAACCAGCCCATCTCTATATTTTTATCAGTGGATCTTACATTTGGAATCCTATTGACGTTGAAGTGGCTCCATCAGGATCATTACTTGCTTGGTTGTCACAACCATTAAAGTCCAGGAATTCTCCTTTAGTCGACCCAGTGAGTAAAGCATGCCAGTCATTGATTGTATATCTGTTCCTATTTAGTTTACAAGATGTTCTTATATTATTTGAAGCTGATAAAGACACGTGAGAATTTGAATTTGTATAGTTCTTCACCGGGTTTAGAGGGTCTGATGAATCAAAGTATTTGCTTAATACTAATATGTAAACAGTACTGGAAATTCGCTCTTGAGGGATTGTGGTGTTCGGACAATGTGTCTCAGCCCTTCATTGGGAAAATGTAGCTGTGAAACTTAGTATTTTTCCTTCCGAACGTTTCTGCTGAACGATCTTTTGGTATTTCTTATCGAAGCAGTAGAAAGTAAAATTAGACATTATAAAATCGCTAGGATCTGTCCTATCAAGAGGGAATGTGGTGTTGTCACACTCTTTTATATGAAAAAGGAAGAAGCTGGTTCACCTTCGTATAAGATCTCTAAATCTGTTCCGTCTTGGTAACTTGAGATTAGTTGAATGAAGGAAGACCCCCAGCCATCTCCTATCATATCCACTTCCGATTCCATCCCAATAATGAACCCTCTCCATGCGAACCCAATGTATATTTCTTCATCATGCAAGGTTACATTGGCAGGGTCTTTATCAAAGCTCGTCCTAATAGTGTTCGTATTCGTCTGAAGCTTAGTCCTATTTAGCATCTGGATAAATAGTTTTGAAGAGTAATAGCCAGTGATTCCGAAGATTATTAGTGATATGATTGAGCCAATGAATGTGTTATAGCTCTTCTTTGAGTTAAAACTCATTGTGAATTTGTGTGAGAACAAGTCAAAGCCTTTAATGACTCCGTAAGTTGTTTTGAAAAAAGCTGGAATTTCCATAACGGGGTTTGAATATATTATTTAGGTTGTTTTGATTGTTTTTGAGGGGTTGGAACTTGGAAAAAATGTGGGGAATTTTTGTTAAGATCATGCTTAATGTGTAGAGAGGGGTAGAAAATTATAAGGGTATAGAGTTGATTTGAGGATGGATTAATGGTCTTTTAAGATGGGAATGATATGAAAAGGACATTTTTTTGTAAACTGGAAAGAATTCAACCTTCTAGTAGTTAATTGGGGTTTTGGGGTTTTGGGGTTTTGGGG